CTGTACCTATATCGATTATTTTTTTTTGAAGTTATAAAAAATTTTGTCAAATGATGAATAAACTATATTATCTTTTGGGAAAGAAAACTTGGATTTTCAGTTCTCCATCTTTATATAAGAAAATGTGGGAGTGTTTTTGATGATAAATGCCAAAAAATACTTTTCATTATCGACAATGATATTGAATAAAGAAAAAACTTGAGAACAATTCAATTATGAGAATTCAGTAAGAATTTAAGAAAAAGCTTTTTGGTTTTCTACTCACCCATCATTATATACAAAAAATGTGAAAAAAACGCCATAGCAAGTTGGAGTTGAATAAATTTAAAGATATGTTTAAAACTGGACGGAATTCTGGAGTCAATTCATGAAGACAAGTATATAGATTTGGATAACAAGTTCCTGTATTTACTCTGGGGTGACTAATGGTTTATATATTTACCTTCCAACAGAAAATGTATGCAAAGAGGTATTTATTTAGCTAGTGTTTTTTGCCAGACTGAGTTTTTTCAAGTCAATTATCTAAACCTATAAACAGAAAAAGGTTTTTTCGAATATTACCCATCATGCTGAAGCTCTTGCCGGAACCGGTTTGCCCGTAGGCAAATAAGCAAGCGTTGTAGCCCTGAAAGGCACTGTCGAGAAGAGGTTCACCTAGAGCCCTGAACACATCTTCCTGGGAGGTATATGCTGGATTTAATTCGTTACTGGACCAGAACACGTGATCATACTGAAAAATATGATCAGTGCTCATACCTGTGGTGCCCAACATTTGTGTTCGGATTGTCAACTCCTTATTAAGAACTCGAACTACATCAGTGGCTCCAACACATGCCAGTTCCCTGCTATTCATTGGCCTTATTCTCACAGCTACTATTAAATTACTGACTTCATCAAACTTTTCTTTGCTTCTTCGGTGTGCGATAGGGGTTTCAACAGTGACAGGGTTGAAGCAATCTGGGGTATTTTGGACAACCTCGACTCTTCTTGATTTCGGAGTGGCATAATTTATTTTAGGGGTTGAAAATTGAGGTTTAGGAGTCTTCGGTATATTCCGATTCGTTTTATCTTTTAAAATTCCTGTTTTTTTAACTGCCCCTAAATAGTTCCTGGGTGTCCCAGGAGCTGATAGAGCCATTATTAGAAAATACTTTCAACCATAAAGTTTCTATACTGTCACATGTCGATACATAAGATTTTTAAAGCTTTTTCTATCAATAATAAGCTGAGTAAACGGTTGTTATTTCAAATTAAAAAATTTAAACGTTCGACATTGGCACTGACAGTTGACACTGTTGACATTCGATTGATAGCTGAGTGCGTCTACTAGAAAAATCCCGCTTGATGGGACACTGGATGTGTCTACCAGAATTCACATGATCAAACTGCTTTGAAAAATCTTCAGAAAGAACATTCTAGCTAGGGTTCTTGAAGTCCCCTGCATTCTAGCTATCACCAACAAAGCGGATGATATTTTGAAATCCAAAAGTAATCCATCATTTGAATCGTTTGATAAATTGAGTCTGGTGAATTTGTAAGAAATCTCATTCGATTTTCTTAGGAAAAACAAAGACAACGGTAGCCTTAATTTACATCATATCCAGAATCCAATTACATTCACTTTATCGTGTTTCGAAGAAAGAAGGGGTGTATTATGGAATCTTGAATAGGAATAATTGACGAATACAATTGCTGTTCTCTAATGCAGCTTTATTTTTCAACTCTGTTGGCCAATAAACAAGATTTCTTTTGGTTGTTTCTAGTTTGCATCGCTAGACGATAGATGTCGGGTCTATCGTTATTAGAGTTCAGTTCCATATTTGGCTGTTATTTTGTATGTTCAAAAATTTTTTCCGCCACATTATTACTTATAAGGCGAATAAAGTGTAATATTCGATTCGCAAATAATGATTCCTTATAGATTTATTTACCAGATAGATTTTAGCTTGACTATAGCAGCTGAAGATTATTGAAAAACTAGCACAGTATCCACTTTCTCTGAAATAAAAACTGTAATCGCACAGATTAGTGATGAAAAGGTGAATTTAAATTTTTTGAAAAATGTTGCATTTCATAAATGAGTTATAATGCAAATACAGGGTGGACAATCGAAATCGTACCACAGGTAGGGAAAATCCGAAAACAAGGGGGAGAAGATTTAACTCAAACAGAACTGATGGTTCGAATACATTTCAGAGAAAATCCAGCAGAACCTAAAACCACTTCATAAAAGTGCTTCTCGAGTTAAGTTGAAAACTATGGAGATTTATGTAATCAATCTGAATTGCGAAACATGCTAGACTGTTGGGTTACTTAAAGTACAATTCCATAATAGATTATCATTCAATCTCTTTGCAAATGACCTCAATGTTCGCTGATGGCGTTGATGAAAGTGCGAAGTATCTGTGACTGAGATTCTCCAGTTCGATTTAAATAATTTCAAAATAAGTGATGTAATATCAATTCGCTGAAACCAAATCTAGGTTAATTTTATGAATATCATCTTTATGTTGTAATTATCCTGTTGAGCTTCAAGACTCACATAAAAGAAACTTCATCAAGATCTCATCGTTAAATTTTAGGTTTTACGCTTCGAATAGCTATAAAAGTTTATAAACATTCTGTTAAGAAAAACAAGCCAGACAAAGTATTATTCAATTTATGAAAGTAAAAACTGTATAATCACATACCTTACGAAATTAGGAAGGAAAAAAGCTATAAAAAGTTCAGAAATCTTGTTGAAGATGCCCCTGCAACTAAAGCGTACTACAATCTTGATGAATATTACAATGGAACTTTGCTGTGATTCAATAAAGGTGTTTTTTTGTTGTTTATATTGACACCTATACTTTGAATTATATTTTATACCGGGATATATCTTATTTTATTGCCATGACATGTGAACTTATGTTCAAATTGTGTATATTTGTTATTTACATCTTTTGGAAGGGACTATACATACTATTTTGTCTACAAACTGTGTTAAAAGATATGTGAACTTATAGTTTTGCTCAAATTGTGTTTCTGGGTATTTGTGTTTTTGAATTGTTTCTTTTCTTTTATTCTTTGAAGTGCTATATATCAAATTTTTTAACAAGCTTTGTCAATAAGATTGTATTTTCTTGAACAATAAAGTATACCTATGTCTATATATCTATTCCTTTGAAAATTAGTGAATGCTAACATTGAATCCCCTGAAAATGACTGTTTGATTCATCTTTGCATTCTTTATTCAAGGCTTTTGTGTGAATTACCTATAATTTATGTTCAGTGCTAATAATGTCTGAGCCTATGTTAAGTGTTGAATGCTTGACATTATTTTGGAATTTAGCTAAAAGTTCTTCACCTGGCACTTTTGGTATTTCCAATAACCCACTATGAATATAGTGCGCATATCTGGTTCTAGTAGTACTTATGTAATTGGAAACAAATAGATCATAACCTGTTGCTTTAGTGATTGCCCTACAAAACACCGCTAATTTTATTGGAAACATTAATACAGTATTTATAGAAATCTTGAACTGTAATGGCCCTATTCCTCCAGGAATGCCATATGTAACCGTCATTGGAAATTATAGAATGATAATTTGAACGAATTTTCAATTATGATGAACGCCAATTCATTTCCCACGGGACCTCAACAATCTGGAACACCTTCTGACAGAGCTAATTGAATTATTTTCGTTCGAAGAGCTCTGAAACTATATCTCAAGTACTCCATCTGGTATGTAATCCGACACTAATAGATCACATGTGGTCATTTAAAAACGAGTCTAAGTGGTTGTCCTTTGACAAAATATCCTGCTATTTTTTATGAAAGCTCCAATAAAAATATTATCCCCACTCGAGGAGGCGCGTGGCCGACGCTATCTCTGTCACGGCGCGTGCTGACGCGTGGCGTCGTTTATTTAGAGGCGATGATATTTGTAGCTTGTGGCGCGATTAGGCCATAATGTTATTAGTATCCGTTTCGATAGCGATTTCGAGTGGGCAATTTGAATTTTTTGCTGCTCGTTAAAAAATATGTAACATCGCTCGACAATCTGCTCCAAGAGGCTGGGAACTAGATTTGCTCAAAAAATAATTGTTACTTTTCGGGGATTATACTTACAGAGTTTACCAGTTGATTCTCTAGAATCTTCTGAAAAATATAAAAAGTTGCCAACGTCCCAACTCGTTTTCTCTGACATAATGATAATAATAGCTTTATTGTCCAACAGTTACCCATTTACAGGACAATATAAAATTTTATTCACAATACTTAACCATAAACGAAAAATAAAATGAACAAAAATGAGAAACCAATTCTAATTACCTACTTCAAGTACACGTTAGCAATTCTAATAATGTTTTGAAGGATAGTGAAGAATAAATCACCATGCGCACAAATGCTAATGAAATTTGTGCACATAACATATATTGGGGAATTGAGCATAATGTTAGTTTTTGCTCTGAGAGGTTTAAAAATGGATTGAGATCGTGAAGCTGGCCGTGGTACATTGAAGTTAATTTGTTCAAGAATTTTAGGACAGTCAACTCTCTCATTCACTAACTTGAATAAAAATATGAGCGACGCACATTTTCTGCGATGCTCTAAACCAAAAAGTTCCAAACGTTCATATATGACATCATTACTGGTACCTCTCTCAGGGTAAGAACCATCTATTCTGAAAATTAGAAATTTACAAAACTTTCTTTGAACTCTTTCAATGGCTATGTTATGAATCTCATAGAATGGACTCCAGATGATACTTGCATATTCTATCTTCGAATGTACGTAGGTGAAATACAACAGTTTCATCGCTTTGATATTATGAAAGTTTCTGCAATTTCTTACAATGAAACCATAAGCTCTGAGAGATTTTGAAACTGACATGAACAAAGAAAAAAAAAAGAAAATGTTACTCATGTCCATTGGATGAAAATGTAGCCCATATTGATTTCAATGTGATTATTTTTTAATTAGTTTAGAGGGAGTAGCAACAAAAAGACCCAACATATTTCTATGTTGAATAATTTTCCAGATCATTTTATAGAAATGATAAAAGAAGTCTTGATATAGGTATCAATGCCACTCCTGCTAGATACTTTTTCAATAACAACATTTTATAAACGACCATCTTCATTCTTATTATTGAAGTGAACGAAAAAAATAAATAAATGAAAAGTGAAAGTTTGTTCTATAAAGCAGCTGAAACTGAAAAGAAAGTGTTGGTGGTGATGTGAAAGCAAACCAAGTAAGTATTTTTTCAATCCAACTCACTCAAATGATTTCTCAATATTGAAATGTAACAAAAGTAAGTGGAATTTTTAAGAAATTTCGTGATTTTGAGAATGTATGAAATGAAAACAGAAATGCTGTTTTGATGGTGCAAGAAAATCCACATTCAATCAAAGATTAAAAAACAATTTTGTTGAAGCTGAGGAATATATCCATGAAAATATTTTCTCATTCAATAATATAAAAATACAAAAAATGATTGAAAATAAGATTTTTTAGGGCGTTTTGAAAATAATTAAAAAAATTTCAACGATTGAAAACTTTAAAAAGGGTTTTATTCCAATCGTAAAATTTGTTGTGCATTGATATAGAGTCAGGACTCCATTCAACTATTTCTGCTTCGAAATTATTTTTTTGCAACTGTAAAAAATGCAAACATGGTGAAAAAGTTGGTCTGTTGGCAGGAGGAAAAGTTCCAGAATATCTGAAATGTTATATTTTTGCACACTTTCTGACAATCGTATAATATAATAAAATATCGAACGATCTCTACAATCAGGCTTGACGGAAAATGAATTTCTGACAAAGACATTATTTGCACCCCAAATTTCACAACAAATCGATAACAAACCGTAAAATAACCTATAAATATTCTTCGACGTTACCTCCAAAGGGTTAGGAAACCAATACAAATATTTGAAAGACATTCGACACGATGCGAAATTTAATGTTTCGAAAAAAATCGAGATGGTTTCTTACTCTTTTTTCAGAACGGCAGCAGATGTTAAAACATATTTCAAGTTATTGCGGAAGGGTAAAATCATGTAGGACATTTGACGGTTAATCGATAAAAAAGATGTCTTTTACTTGGTTCCAAAAATGTTTCTATTGTTCATATAGTCATCTATTTTTGCAACTTCGTTGATCGTTTAGAGAGATAACTTAATGTCATTTTTTTAAAATAACCTATAACTGTAGAATAAAATGGCCAGTGGGAATATATAAGTTAATTGTGATAATTAACGACAAAGAAGACATGTTGCTTGTGAAAATATCAG